TATCCACGTGTAGAAGCTAATTCTGTGCTGTGCGACAGGTGCACGCGTGAACGGAAAAACGTAAAATGTATTGCCAACTCGAAAAAAGCAACTGCATCGTTGATGATAGTGATGCCAGCCCCCAGAGAAGGGTCTCGTCGGTGCGTCGGTGCGTCGGTTGCTTCAAGATAGAAAGGGAACGCAAACGGGAGCTGAGCCCGGTTCTACGAGGGAGAGAAAAGATGGACGACGCCAGTTGGCGTCTCGCGACGTCGCCAGAGTAATATTACAGAGGGGGAGGCGCGAGGGACGGAAGGGAAGGTTAGGGACTGGCTCGATAGAGATGTCACCGATCTATGAGCCAATTTCCCGACGATTTTAAAGATCTTTCATCATTCGATGGGTTCATTGGTCGCACCATCGGTGATCAATTGATTAAAGTACCTCTGAGGAACCTATCTGTGCCAACGTGGACAATGGACCACCCTTCAATGTCCCCAAAGTCCTTACTCGCGTGATTCTTCTGAGTTGCTTAGACAATTTCCCAATTTCATCTTATTTTACATTATACTTATGTTTCCATTTCGGAAAAGTCTGATCGGCCTGCTTTTCCAACTATTCCCATCGCACAGTTCAAATCTCTGGCCGTCCTTCTTCGAATGCCCGGTGCACGTGCGTATCGTGGACTGCCGCATGAGGCATCTCTGCTTGATGAACACTCGTTTCTGATTCACCACGTAGGTTCTAGTCTCACCAACGAGCAGCACAATTACGATCCGTTGATTGGCTGAAAATAACGACAACGTACCGACTACCAATATCGCACGGACGACTACAGCGCCACCGACCACACGTACTCCTGAAGAGCATTTTTGAATGCTATCGATGTGCATATCGCAACAGTGCTTTACGGGTAGACGTTAAAAATACTTGGTAGAAAGAAAGATGTCAGTTATGCGCCGCCATACCGGCAGACGCAAGCGGAGGACAGTCGAGCTTATTTAGTTTATAATAACTAAATGGCTGACAATCGGTCAGTGCAAAAAGTCCCTAAGCACTGACAATAGTTGCAGCTTAGTTCGAAAATGTACCAGGGGCTATAGTATAGATATGTCAGTCTTATCTGCCTGACGCACGACAGTGAATGCCGACCGCGCTTTCCCTTTCTTTCCGTGTTCCCCGGATAGCGCCGAATGAATCGTAAATTTGAGCTGACGTCAGCGCGCGTGGTTGTTGCGCTGCAGCTTGCCGCGTGCTTCCTGTCGCTTGTCGGGTTAACCGTGTCTTTGTTATATTGGCTCCCTAGTAGCCAATGCAAAGAAACCTGAGGTGAAGAAGGCAAAGTCAACGGATCCTTTTCTCTAGAGTCGCACGACAGGAGCACCACGTGCGACTGGGTCGTACCGGATTCGCGGAGGGTGTGAACAGCCATGGCTCCATCGTCGCAGCCTCCCACCTTCTGCGTTCCAACATTGAGATTTCAGCCAGCAGACTACTTGCAGCATTGTCGAAGGTCACGAGGGCAGGGTATTAAGAAGCAAGGCATGATTCGGCCAAAGGCCAAATACTCATTAGCCTCCCTTGGCGGAAGTCATCCTGACCAGATCTTTGGGATTCACAGTAGTAATCGGCTATTATTCGCTCGGCTCGATCGGCTCGATCGGCTCGATCGGCTGGATTCAACCACGGGATTTAGCCCCGAAGCTCCAGCTCTCGCCACGATTTTCGGGCATTCTTTCTCTCCCCTTGCGCCTTTGATCTCGAATCTTCTATCCTTCGTCTTCCGTTCCGTCTCTTCGCCGCTGGATCCGATTGACCCTCTTGACTCTCTCGCTGCCCACGCGAAACATGCATCCTCGTTGCGGGCGTGCGATTGCCAAGAAACTCAACCGAATAGGAACATCCTGGACTTACCTTCTCTCTGCACAGCAAACGCGGAATCCCTCGCAACAGCCGCATCCCCATTGCACTGCACTGCACCACACACAGTACACTGCACCTTGTGCTTCTCTCTCACCTCACCTTTTTTTACGTGACGCACAGCCTCCCTCCCACTTTCACCCTCCCGTTGCCTTGCTATTATCCCTCCGCCCCCGCACCACACTTTCTCTCTCTCTCTCTCTCTCTCTCTCACACACAATCCTTTCTCTCCTTAATTCGTAGCCAGTCCAGCTCTCCGGCTGGCTGTCGCTCTCGCGCGCGCAATAATAGCACGTAATGTTCACACACAATCCTTTCTCTCCTTAATTCCCGTTGCCTTGCTATTATCCCTCCGCCCCCGCACCACACTTTCTCTCTCTCTCTCTCTCTCTCTCTCACACACAATCCTTTCTCTCCTTAATTCGTAGCCAGTCCAGCTCTCCGGCTGGCTGTCGCTCTCGCGCGCGCAATAATAGCACGTAATGTCTGCGCGAGAGCCGCAAATTCTCTCTCACAAAAGATTCAGCATCCAGCTACGCCCGTGACAACGACTGGGCAACTACTGGAGGATCGTGGTACCGGCGCAAGCTCTGATTCCGATTTTGACCGGCGCAGCGCCACCGGAGATACACGACTGTTAGGCAGAGGGTGAGGCTGTGCGCGAGATGCCGAGAGGGTCGAGAAAGCTCGATTCCTCTCTCGCTTTCTCCCTTCATCTATCCCACTCTCTTTCTCTCTCGGGGAGCTTCTCCGCTTCTCTGCGGCCTGTGCGATGTCGTTCTCCTTTCCACTCATCCTCCTCGTGCCCCCTTGAGCAATATCGAGGGAGGCCTGAACCTTCCCGTCGACTGTGCCCTCCAATCCTGAGCTTGCTGGACTCCCCTAAAAGTAGCATCAAGCGTACTCGTTCAGTGGACCGACGTCTTTCCCTAAGGCGTTAGGCTCTTGCTTTATAAAAATTCGAACTTGCCGGGAGAATCTTCTCGATTAAGTCAGCGACCCAATAAGGAAGTACGTATGAGAATTATGAGTTGTATTCGTGCCGCGATGCTGACGTGTCAGTCAGTGTAGAATCATTCATAACGAAGCTCGAATATCTGTGGGTAAAGCGAAGTAGAGTCATTATAGCTACTGGATGTCATTGTGCGCAACGTCCAGTTGCCAGCTGGCCAAAACTGTCTGCGAAGAGGCCTTTGAGTTGTTATCTGCTGGAGACACGGGATAATCGATAAACTCTAATCAAACAGTAAAGTGTCGCGTGACGAGAGAACTTTAATAAGTGAAATCGTATTGTCAACTATGAAAGCAGTTCGGATAATAACGATCACGTGATTTATGTAGTATTCAAAAGTCAGACGTGACGTCATGACCCACGAAAAAGCGTTAGAACCAGTTGGCCACCGATGGAGCGCTCGTCGCCTTTTCCTCTGTCAGTTAAACACGATGCACGCTAGACGAAGCAGAGATGCGAAGCGTTTCAGGGAGGATAGTTAATTGCGCAAATCGGTTGGGTAGCAACTCTCTAGGCTGTAAAAACGTGAATACGCAAAGGCCAGTCCTCCATTTAGGTTGAGGCGAACTTTTGAAAAGTTTACCTCACGGTCAAGACGTTTCTTCGATATCGGTCATTGTTCGTGTCTCTCTCTCTCTCTCTCTCTCTCTCTCTCTCTCTCTCTCTCTCTCTCTCTCTCTCTCTCACACACACACACACACACACACACACACACACACACACACACACACACACACACACACACACACACACACACACACACACACACACACACACACACACACACACACACACACACACACACACACACACACACACACACACACACACACACACACACACACACACACACACACACACACACACACACACACACACACACACACACACACACACACACACACACACACACACACACACACACACACACACACACACACACACACACACACACACACACACACACACACACACACACACACACACACACACACACACACACACACACACACACACACACACACACACACACACACACACACACACACACACACACACACACACACACACACACACACACACACGTGCAAGAAACGATATGATAATCCATGATGACAAAGTTGCGTGTTGTCAGACCGAATATCAATGCTAATTCGTTTGCAGATTCGGGCCGTCGCATTCCGTTCCGAAAAATGTGACATGCCATTTCCCCGAAGTCTATCTTGGCCGTCTAAGATCAATGTAACGAGTATTCGTGTCTTAGGCGTGTCTAACGCTCGAATCTGTTATTTCTTGACGTGACAAAGAAATTGGGCCAGAAGGATCAAGGACTCCAAAGAGTGGTTCCTTCAAAAGAAGGCCCCAATAGAACAAAATCTGTTTCTACGTCTCTACAATGGTCTTGAATTCGTAATTGCGTTTGCTATCTTTAATTTTTAAACGATATGGCACTTCAAGAAATTAACGAGATCGATCCAGCCTCCCTGTAGCACAAAGAAAGTCGGGTTAGCGAATGTTTAATCGAATTTATTGAACAAAAAAGATATTAATCACATATGGAGTTTTTTCGTGTGTGACATCGTTACGTGGTACGAGTCCACGAATGCAGAATTACTGCAGAGCATGTTCTGCGACAGTGAGCCACAGTGAGCCACAGTGAGAAATAAGTATTTGCACTATTATATTGAATGTACTATAGCAGGTAAAACATTTATTGTCGATGGACGATCGAAAATGACTCGACGTCTTGTGAATGGTACACATCGACAGTGCCTAATTAGGAAAATTCGTGAAGGAGAAACAAATTGGCTGAAGAGTCTCTTTTAATTTGCTCGCCTAGTCATTATACATATTTCGTTTTTCAGTTTGGCGAGTCCGAGTAATTCTATCCTGTTATTGTGTTCGATTAGACTGATTATGTGGGCTGTCCTGCCCATGCCTGTTTAGAAATTTAACATTGCCATAGAGTTAACGTAATACTTGACGCTGGCATTAAATAAAAAAATTATGAAATTAGCAGTCCAGTGTTTGACGAACGGAGAAGGAAGCATACTCTCCTGGCTCGCTATACCTGCGTCCTTGCCGAGCGAGTCATTAAGTCTGAAAGTCTACATCGAGAAACATGAAAAGAAACGAAGGAAGCTTCGAATTCGTCGTGGGCCTGAATCGCTATTGGCTCAAGTGGTTCGGGTTGTGGCCGCACTGTGACAGATTCTCCTCCCACCGACTGTTCGTCACGCTTCTTATGGCAATCAGCCTGTTAATTCCAATGACGGCGTGTCTCTTCGAAAGCAACGATTTTGCCGATCATATTGAAATCTTGAGTAAACTGATACCAATTATAATGGTTACCATCAAATTATTCATCCTGCGAGTGAAACGCAACTACTTGCGCCTCCTTGTTGAAGAGGTGGCCCGAGATTGGAAGAATTTCGGTCAACTTGAACTATACGAGAAAGACGTCATGATGAGATATGCTAAGCTCGGTAGACTGATCAACATCATCTGCATTGTCTTCTTATTTCTTGTTCAATTGGGTAGGCTGGATATGAGATTTAATTAAGAATAGATTTTCACTAGGGAACCATCAGCTCCTGGAGTTTATGGGGTCTTTATAGCAGGTTGCGACTATACGACGGATGTACAGTTGCGTTAAGAACGCAACGAAGAAGAGTCGAGGACGAAGTTTTAAATTCCAAAACTATATTCGACAGCATGGAAAATATGTTGAATGTCTCTGTAATCTCACGGGCCTTTAATACTTAGGGACTATCTGAATGTAGCTGCTACTAGGCAATTGCCTACAATAGTAAAGTTAACGGATGGTTCCAGGCCTCGATAGTGCGCCACTGGCCGCGTCACGGAGGAACCCCGGACAACGTGTCTTTCCCATGTCAACGAAATACTCATTTGACAGCAAACTCTCGCCCGCGTACGAACTGATCTACATCGAACAGTGCGTCGCCATTGCCATTTGTAGTATCAGTAACGTGAGCATTGATTGCTTCTTGTTCCTGCTTGTCCTCCACGTGTGTGGTCAACTGACTATACTTTCGAGGCTCATTGAACGCTACCACGAGTCACAGGATGAGAATTTGCTAGAGCTCGGGACACGATGTCGTTGCTTTCGGTGTATCGTCGAGAACCATGTGCGGCTGACAAGGTGATCGTTAGAAGCAAAAGAACACACGACTATTTCATGTAATTACTAACTACATAGCCTAAATCATTTTATAGATTCATGAATTTAGTCGAGAGTTCCTTCAACGGGCTAATTCTCTGGCAATTCTTGAACAACACTGTCCTATTTTGCGTGCATGGATATCACATAGTGATGGTAGGTAAGCCCACTTTTTCACCAATTTGCTTGATGACAATCATTTTCTCGCAACAGGATGTAAACGCCCAAGATACCATTAGCGTTCTATTATTTGTCACCGTCCTAATTGCAATCGCTTTCGATTTTTTCATTTACTGTTACGTCGGAGAAGCAATAATCTCTAAGGTATGCATCGTCACAATACAATTGTTTAATTATTGTATTCCCCTCAGTAATGCGCTAGCAACCTTTGTAATTACGTAATTGAGTGAACAGAGCGAAGAGATTGGGTACAGCGCGTACCAAGCCCTATGGTATGATCTTTCACCAGGAACTGCTCGCTTTTTCATTATCCTGATTCTACGGTCTAGAAAGCCTTTTAATATTACAGCAGGGAAATTCTATATAATGTCCATGTCCTCTTTCATGAATGTATGTACAGACAACAACAGTAACAAATCGTATGCTAATACTTTTATTAACTATTTTCTCCTTCCACTGTCTTTTAGATACTGAAAACTTCAGGAGCATATTTGTCCGTTCTGAAGGCAATAAAGTAACTCATTATTTAGGCTTGAATAAAAAGAAACGGGACAAATATTTTGGGTTTCTGAATGTATTTTTAAATGAACATTTCATCACATTCTATAATGATGTTGGTCAAGGCGATTTATAACATCTTTTAAAAATAAATCTCTACCAGAGCAGTTCACAAGGAAAGTCAATTATAAAACTAAAATGCATATCGTTTTGAGAATATAATTGTTGTAAAGAATAAAATGTTTAAATTATATGCCTTGTCTTTTCATCCGGCTCACAGAGTATTTGCATTATGACACTTTCTATCGACGTGGCGAGTAAAATCGACCTTTTCCCGAAAGGTTTTACTGCACCGTTTACAAGTTAAACTGTGATAGTAATAATTTATTATTTATTATTTATGATGCATTTGTTTCATTGCAGTTAGTATATGGAATTATTGAGGGGCTTACCGGAAGTTCTCATGGAGTTCCATGTGTTTTTTTAACGAACCAAGTTTGCTGTAAATCTTAGAACAGCTAGTGCATCTTAACGATGCTGGTGGTTCCTTCGGTAAAATTGCGGCCTCGTGCAATATTTTAATGTGATCTATTTTATCCGATCTACGTTTGTACTTTTTTTCACAAGATGCGGAATCGTAAGTAGTTATAAGATTTTTACTAAAGTATAAATGATTTTTATAAATATTCTTCTCGGCGTCGTAGTGTACAATGCTGGTTTTGAATTCGTGAAAGCACCCTAAAACAAATGTAATGAATGTTCAGAGAAAGGAAAACCTTACAACCGAGACAGCATGTAACAAAAAGCAGATAATTTTTTTAGTAAATTATTATATTAATTAAAAGTTTTCTACCATCACCAAATTGCTCGGTGCATTCTGTCAAACAATCTGCAGCAGTATTATCACATTTGTTTTTGTTACTTTTTTCTTTTGACATTTTCTTGGTCGTCAATTTATTACGTTTCTTCTTGTGTGAATTCTTATGATTTAAAAGCAACTCACTTTCGGTAATCAAATTATCGGATGTTTCTTGAATAGTCATGCTGTTATTTACTAGTGAATATGGCAAATCCAGAACATTATCATCCTGAATCTTATAAGCAGTTACTTGTGAGTCAAGAATTTCATGAACATTCCAGTTGCCAATATTTTGAATATTTTTATTGCATTCAAATTTTAACTCATTTTGTGCTATATTTCTACCGGGAAGTTCAATATTTTTAAATAATACTGTATTTTCAATGGAGGATTCAGTGTCCTTTACAACGTTATTTGCCTTTTCTCGTCCACAGATGTCATTTCTGATGATGATACTCTCTGGGAGCAATTTTCTGACCGTTTTTACGTGTTGTTCTGCACAATTGTGTCTAATTAATAAATCCAAATCATTGGTATCACTGTTTCTACTATCTGTCTTGTAATTATAATCGTCCAAAGTTGGATGTAATAACTTGTGTACTTCATCAGAATCTGTCAAGTAATTCCCTATGCCTAAAAAGTCTGTATAATTTGGAATACAAAGTTCTGACTGGATTCCGTTTATTTCATTCTGATTTGAAGTACACTTAAAATCTTGACTTTCTATATTTCCCTGATCAATCATGTTTGTGTTTAAGTGAAATTCTTGTTCCATGTACATTTTGGATTGAAGCATACAATTTAGTGACTGATCGGTCATAACTGTTTGGCTTTCTTCTACATCGTCGATTCTTAGTTTATTTTTATCAGAAGAAGCAAATGTTTTCACATTTATTTCGTTAAAATTCTTCTTATTGGAAGTTCCTTCAAGTAAAGTCTCTTCACTAATTTCATTTTCTGATACCCATTTAGGGCTCTCTTGTTTTATGGACAAAGGCTTATAGACCTGTTTCCTTTTGTTTCCAGAGTTTTTAATATATACTTTTTTTACATCTGTTGCAGTAGTCTGATGTGCTTCTTTAGATATGTGTTTTACAGGATCACAATTATGTTGAAGGTTCCCTGGTACGTCATATCGATAATCCTGTGAATTTTCTGAATTCTCTGCCTTGTATTTTAATTTTGTACATTTAGGTCTTAAAATGTTTGGTAAATTTCGAGTGACTTGTTGTGACAGAGCCTTCTGTACTTGTAATGACTTTTCAGTATTAAATTTGTTGTCATCTATATTTAAATGATCTATTGATATAGTTTCTGAAATCTTTGATAAATGTTGAGAATTATAATTATCTATTGTATCAGATGAAGGAGAAATTGTAGCAATAGTTTGATTGTTCATGCTCAAGTTGTTCCAGTTTATTCCATCCTCAGATTGTTCATTGTTTCTTTTCAACATATACAAGACGGTGTTTCCTTTAAAGTTTTTGATTATTCTTCTTGTATAAACTTTGGAGATTTTATTTGTAAAGTTACGATTTTGATGTTTTAAAGCATTCATGGAAAGGAGAAAAACTTTTTTGGACTTCCATCTATCATCCATCAGCATTGAATTAGGGGTAGCCATTCCGTCGAATTTTTCTGAATTTGAATAATAATCTGAAAATAAGGTTTAAGGACGTTGATGTGATAAAAAAATGTAGATTAATTTTAACAGTACGCACAAAATGGCATTATAAAACTGAAAATTTAAAGTGACGGATACACAGCTTGCGTCCACTAGCATCAGTTGTACTGCATGATGTTACTAATCGACGTTTGAATAAAAAAAATGAAATATTCGAAAGATGAGATAATTTACATAGTTAGAAAATGCACATAGTTAGTACAAGTCATTTGAAAAAAAAAAAAAAAACTTCATAAACTACACTTACCTTGACTGAGGGAGAAACAGAGCCCAAAAACAATGACAGCCAGAGTAAAATCTCGGATTGAACATTGTGTTACACATGTGACATATTTGAAAGGATAGTGATAGATAAGCGGTGTTTGGATCTTTCTTTAGAACATGTTCATTTTTCCGACTGTTACAAAGATTTAAGCAATAATCTTGGCCTTTGGCACGCTTTTATTGAGTTGCGTAGGACCGAGGACGGCACGAGCACACACAAGTTAAGTCCTTACGCGATAAGAAAACATAAACATTCCACCGAGAGATCACAAAGGTGTTCAGGAGCGTATTTAAACAGTTTGGGACCCCAGAATTCATTGTTTTACAAAATTAACAATTTACTGTTTTCGAGTAGCTTTAAAATACGTCTTGTGCTTATTATTTTATTAAATATCACTATTAATCATTATTTTCAGAATTGTCTGCAATATGTTAATGAACAGCTGATATAAGGGCAAAATATTTTATTATTTTTATAAATAAATCATATCCCCATGAATAGAAATTTTTGCATAATAATTTATCTGCATACAGATGAATATAAATAAATTAATTGTAATAATGCATGAATATTTGTATGTGTATATATATGTATAATACAGGTAATTTACGATTACCAGTCATTGTATTCAGCAAGGTCATCATTTTGATCTTTCAATGAAGAAAATAAAATGTCACGCGGTTTCGGTCGAGGATCTTCTGTAATTTTTGTAGGCAATGCTTTCACTTCTCCAAGCATCCATTCCAATTCTACAAATAGATTTTATATTCTAGTAGTTGTTAAACAAAATATGTAAAATCTTAAGTACAAATACTAGCCTGGTTCTGTTAGTTTCATGCCTCGCAATTCAATGGGGCCTATAATCTGTTTAACCATGTTGCCATTATTGTATATGAAAATAGTAGGAAGATTCTTGTCTGGCCAATTCGGAATACATGTGGTCGATACACTTTTCAAGAATTTTGTTGTTGGATATTTCTTTGCAAGTGCAGCCAAATGTTGGTTTACCAATGTACAAAGAGGAATACTGAAAATAATGAAAGCAAAACGTATTTATAAATTTTTATATGTTGGTTGATTGTGTTTCAAAGGCTTATATTATAACTTGAATCTTTATGGTCAATAATATACCCTGGCTTGTAAAGGTGAAGAACAACCCATATGTGCTCTCCAGCATTGTTAACTTCATGCACATAGTCCTGTGCTGATATTTCCTTAATGTCACCATATTTTGCTTTACTTGCCAGCTGTTGTATCTCTGCTATCCTTTTACGCCGATATTCTAAAAGTACCTTTTCATCTTCTTCATCTTCTAATTCATCAAGTTCGTCTAATGTCCTGGAGTTTAGATCATTTTTGGCTGTCGAAAACAAAGATTGACATAGATTATTGTATCCTATTTGGTTATACAGATTCATATATTATGAATTCTATAATTAAAATTTAAAAAATAGTACATTACCACGACCAGTTTTTTGATCTATTGTATTTTCTAGTAAATCGACAATCTGATCTTCAGTGATTTCCTTTTCTTTTTGCTTCTCAGGAATGATACCTTTACTCCTAAGAATGTCGTTCCACTCGGTATCTTCGTTAGGGTTTTGCTATAAAGAGAACAAATTAGAGAGAAAATTAGTTGAAATGAAAATTCAAATCTACAAGTAATATGTGCTACAGAAATTTAGCATGAGTCATGCATGATTATTTTGTGAAAGTGGAGCAGAGAAGAATTATCTGTTAAATTCATAATTATCAAGAAAATTGTAGAATTTTATTTTAAATTAGACGCGTGGATGCATAGAACCTTAGCATGTAAATTTTTAACTACTGTGAAATGAAATTTAATATAATGCGCAACCTTAAAAGGGTAACACATCTGATTTTTACTTAATACATTATTTCAACTAAATAGCTGCAAATTATATCTCTACTTACCATTATGATACATACAGTAATCCAATTTTATAAATGTATTATGCTGTTTGGAAGTACCTTCGATTATAACGAAAATAAATGATATTCAAAAAGTACAAACGTGGAAGAGTCTAATATGTACCACTGTGTACTGAAATAGCCTTATGGTGGGGTCCTATTACAAACAGCTACATAACACTGACGTATGTATGTACGTGATCAGTGATCCCAAAAAATTCCCTAGATTCGTCATATGTATTTTGTTAAAGCTGCTCAAGGAACTTGATTCTCCTAGCGCGGCTTCTAGTTGCTTTCAGTAGTCAGATAACGAAAATGAAGTATTTATATTACTCTATTGCACAGATTAATGATACAGTACTATAATTTAATATTTTAATTGAAAGTAAATCGTAAGAGTGTATCATTACCATTGGTGTGCAATAATTATGATAGCCACTCTTTGACAGTATATAAAGTAAGGATAGATGACTATTAGATAACGGGGTATATATCTGGACTGATCTGGACGAATCGAATACTGTTTCTCTTTAATCTAACCTCACCTAACTACTCTACTTTGATCATAACGTGCACCCAGAGCACGAAGTGATTATTACCGTAAACAATTAACTATACATAGACGAATTGTGCGTTTCTTCTTATAGTAAATTAAAGTACTAAAAATGCAAACTAATGTTGTCTTACAAACAACACGCGATATTTATTCTTTAATTCGCAATACTCGAAATACTCGATTTTTCACGCAACCGGTTACAGAATATTGTTTGACAGTTCAACGACATTTCAATGTTTACACTCGTGGTACTACCATTGATAACAATGGTTATGAAAAACCCAGCACAAAAATTAATGCTTCATTGAGAACTGATTTTATTCAAGAGTATATGATTCCCAAGACTGTGAACCACGAATACGAAGTTTTTCAAAATTTTAGATATAGGTCTAAGGCCTGTGCGTCAAAAAGAAGGGTAGTTTTAAAAAATCTTGAATCTTATTCACAAGTACTACATATTGGCTTATTAAGTCACAGTACACCAAGGACATTGTCTGTTGCTGTTAGACATTTTTCCACAAATTCTGCATCAGAGCATGTTGGCTCAAATAACATTGAAGCACCTTTGATGGTAATGACAGGAATTTGGAAAAAATTATCAGAATGCCCACCTGTTGAATTTGTACAAAATTCGTTGATCTCATTGCATTCAAGTACAGGTTTGCCTTGGTGGGCTACCATAGTACTTGCTACCGTCATGACAAGAAGCATAGTAACAATACCACTATCATGTTATCAGGTATAAATTTATGGATCTGTATTATGTAAGAGGACAATTTTTCAAAATTAAAAACAATATATTCTTACAGGTATACATTACGGCAAAATTGCATAATCTTAAATATGAAATGGAAGACATAGTGAAGGAACTTAAGAAAGAAACTAATTTGGCTGTAAGGCAATTTAAGTGGACTGAAGATTATGCCAGATCTGTATACAATCGATCAGTAAGTAACATTGGGATAGTAATAATAGTGAAATGTCAAGTTTTAATCAATGTTTTGAAGTCAAATTTGCTTTTTTTTTTTCTCAAACAGGTCAATTTTCATTTCATTAATTTTTTTAGCTGAATACACAATGGAATAAATTGATTGTCCGTGATAATTGTCATCCTATGAAAGGAGCCATACTTGTAATCGTTCAAATTCCATTATGGGTGATATTATCAATTACCCTCAGGAACTTGTGTTACATGCTGCCTCATGGAGACACAGGTTAGAGACAACCAATTTCTTGTAGAGCAATGTCGAAGATCAATTCGAGTGGTTTTGTTATTGTATCAAAAAGGTTCTTAATTTTATTGTTACAGCTGCTCAAATAACTTATCTCGAAATGGCAGTAGGTGGATTTGCTTGGATTTCGAATTTGACATATCCTGATCCAACGTTTATATTGCCAGTGTTGTATGGTCTTTCAAACTTGGCAGTTATTGAAGTATGTGCTCAATGGGTGATTCGTATAAGAATAAGTGTTTAATGATGCAATTATATTCCTTTTGTAGATTCATCATATGCTGAAGGTTGGAGAACACAATAAAACACAAAAATACGTTACAAATTTTATGAGGTGTTTGTCTATAGCTCTGGTGCCAGTGGCTGCATACATACCATCAGTAAGTTTTAGTAGAATAAATAAAATCCGACTCCATCACAGATGTCGCATTATAATAGTTTTATTAAAGAAAGCAACAAATTCTTTGTTTCGTTCCAGTGTATCACTTTGTATTGGACGACAAGCAGTTTATTTGGAATTTTTCAAAATCTTCTTCTTGCGTGTCCAAAATTTCGAAGGCTCATGAGGATACCTAAAACAGATGTAGAATTGGAACATCCGTACACATATCTTTTCGAAAAAATCCGTAGCAGGTTGGGCCTTCAAAAGGAATTAGAAAGAATGAAAAAACTGTGATATCCCGTGTAATCTTATGTATCAATTATAAATAAATAGCTATTTCATTTATATTTATGACGACGATAAGTAATTGCGATAGCGCACGCATCCGTGACGTCGCAAAAATTATAAACGAATGATAAATGCAATGTTTCTATTCTGTTTTCAAATATTAATCTCAATTTCAGAGAAGCGTGACGCTCGATGTTGTTGGATATGCATACACGATCTGCTTGTCGAATTACATTTTCGTGCGGATACAAATAGCTAGTATGATACACTTTAGAAATATCAGCTGATATCTATAGCAACCCATACGTTCAGTTGTCTCTACGTATGTATACGAATCGTAGCATCGAATAGCTGAAGCATAATTTGCACAATTGGCAATTGGTATCTGCACAAGTGCCGGCCAACTGGCTTCTCCGTGCTTAGACGGAGTATGTACACTTTGACATATGAACGTCATAATGTTAACACAACCTTTGATCTGACCCTATAGATAGACAGATAACCCTTTCTCAGAAATTCCCGGGAGTACTTCGCTCGCGCAAACCTCGACGCGAGTCTTATAGATACGATTTTCACTTTGAACTAACGTAACGCTAATTCTATAAAACATTAAATGCATGTTTATTAATCAAAGTAACAGCATACTGTGAGTTGAGTACGTGTCAAAGATGAAACACTCAAATAAAACGGGCCTTAGCATTCTCTTGGTATTATTGTGCATAACGGACATCACTTTAACGGTAAGCAATCGTCATCTGCATTCAAATATCTAACGTAGTAATACATATTATTGTGCAAAAACTTTTCTAATATGGCGGACGTATCGTTGAAGTATATTTTCGGAAATTTTAAAAATGACTTTTGCACGTTCACGATACACTTTCGATCGCACACTCGTTAGGGGTCTACCCGTTTGTTTCAGATTTACGATCCAAATTTTCACACGACGAAACCTCCGAGACGTCGTGAACCTTTAGAACGACAGTATTCAAACAAAGGAAGCTTTCGATTGTGCCGCGAAGAGCAAACATCAGTCGCATCCGATTGCGAAGAGGCGAGAGGTGTGGATTCCGACGAAGTGGCTACTGCGATTGTGGAAAAGAGTAAATGGAGTCCATGGGTTAAAACAGTTGGTACCGAGATTGAGCAAAGGCAAGAGATAAAAGGCATTGCTGTTCACGACAGCACCGACAGCGAGCAAATTGAACAACACTTTGAGTCAAATCCTTCGTCCAAGAAAGAAAGTTATCATCATAATTATGAACAAAATGGGCGCGATGAATATTCCAAACGCTTTTCTAGTGCTGAGAAGGTGAAAGAGGATTCCGAAGAAACCCATGGGATTCCGCCTTTCGATAAACTGACAGAGAACCAAGAGACCTATCCATACCAAGATAGCCTCACTTATTACAAGGTACGAGTTCGATTCTCTATAATGCGTGCACACACTCAGTGGCTTTACATAGTTAGGAATATGTTTTAACGGTTCTTGCTATTAAATAATTGCAGAAGCCGCGAAAAGAGAAGATACTAAGTTCAGGAGCTTCAACGCATTCTAGCACCGTTGCGAAGTATAATTCCGTATCTGGAGTAGAATGTCCCTATGCAGGCGCGAGTGGACAATTCGTTTATCCTCCGGACTGCAAGTTCTTTGTCAACTGCTGGAACGGACGGGCGTTCGTTCAGCCTTGCGCTCCAGGAACGCTATTCAGTCCCGAGAAACTTGAATGCGATTTTCCACACAAGGTTAAATGCTACGGTGGCGAATTGGCAGACTTTACTTCGCCTGACTACCTGGAAGACACTGCCAATCGGGAGCCGTTCGTGCAAATTTCAAAACCTCCTCAAATTCTGCGGGAAACCGCGAATTTCAATGTAGGTCGAAGAATTCTTAAACATCTTGTATGGAATATATCAAACTTGTTATTTCTTTTAGGCAATAAAATGTCCTCCACACGTAACTGGTTTATTAGCTCATGGATCAGATTGTACTAAATATCTTCAATGTGTCAATGGCGATACCTACACAATGAATTGTGGCCCTGGAACTGTATTTAATCCGACGATCAATGTATGCGACTGGCCATACAATGTTAGGGGTTGCGAAGGTTAACGACTGATAGCTAGTTAAGAAATGATTATTTTCAGATTTCTGTGTTAAGATACGTAATATTGTTTTTTTATACAGATGCGTTGAAGAATGTTGAAGAGGTAGCAGCAGCCACTGAAGTCTATCGTCTGCCGAAATCAAGGGAGACCTCACAGACAGTTAAAAGGAAGGTTGAGTGTCCTGCGTATCATACGGGGCTACTGGCACATCCAGTTGACTGCAAGAAATTCCTCCAGTGCGCCAATGGAATTACTTACGTGATGGACTGTGGACCAGGAACAGTTTTCAATCCGACGTCATCCGTTTGCGATTGGCCGTATAATGTCGATGGTTGCGCCAGAGGTAGATAATACTATGATCGTACCAATAGCAATAGTTTTTTTTTGATTTCATTCTTTTTTTTTTCACTACTGTTCTTGTACATTAATACGTATTCTCCGTTCGTAAGCCTATGATGAAGACTCTCAGCCTGAGGAGACTTTCAGTGGATATTGGCCTGGAAACAATAATGGGAATGGTAACACTTGGGAGAATTCACAGCAAAGTCATAATCGACGGGAAGAAACTCAACAGAATTCGCATAACGATCAGACTCAATCGGCATCGAGTGGCGTCGGTCAAGATCGACATCCTACTTCTTTTATCGGAAATAACAGTCGGTCAAGGGAAGATCGTACTGGTCACGATGTTCAATGGCATAACGAGTATCCCAGTTATTATCAGCAGCAGAGTGGATCCACGGATACTAATCTTAGGGAGACTGGACAATGGCAAGGAAGTTACGGAGTACCGGAAAACATGAACCGCAATCAAAATCAGCGGGAGTCCGTTTTCAATACCGGTGAACATGATTATCATTACGGTCAGGGGCACGATCGCCATTATTGGTATCGTCATGAAACAACCACGAATGGATACGATGATATGCATAAACCGTGGAAAATAGCAAAAACAGATGACGACGCGCCCAAAGAAGATGGTCAAGATACTTATCATAAGCATTATACCGGAATTGGGGGAAGCCAGGATATTCCAAAAGAGGCTACTCCAATAGATTCCTCAGATATTGGAAGGGGTTTCGGGACAATCAACGAATTCAATGAGAATGTTTACGTGGACAGCAATTACAAGCTGCCCGAGGAAGTCGAGGGCCCCGATAAGGACAGCGTCGGTACCTCGACAAACGTGCAGCATCATTCACTGAGTGAAAGTGATAACAGTGGTACTTCACTGGGTGGACTAGAATCGCAGGTGGTTCAACCAGAAAGAATTCGTCCAGTTCAGGCAGGAGGAATACAATTGGGTCAGAGGCCTGCACTGAGCAATACCTGGAATCAAGGTACTTACAATTAGTATTTAGTGCATCGATGCGTAGACCCCATCGCTTTGGTAACGTTAAGTGCTAGCCTAGACAGTCTTGTCTAGTATTAGGATGAAAAACTGAGTATTGGCGACAGGTGGGTATGAGATCTCAAGCAGCAAAGAACGGACGGAAACTCTAATTACTCCTTTAACGATTAACAACAACACAAATGACACATCGCCATGCACGACACGCACGGACACGGCTTTTTCCGCTAATACTACTTGCCGCTTTGCGAATGGCAGCCGAGGCACGAACTTTAGCTTTCAAGCTGGCACAAATCAAGGTTCAAACTTTCGGCCTTCGTCGACTCATGCCCAAATCCATCCGAATCTTGGATATGGTAAGGAATACTGGGTAGCTACTGAGAGCAATCCAAAGAGCACTTTGCAGTTGGAGGGACGATCCAAGAATACAATGGAAGACAGCGCTATCAAGGGAAGAGAGCGTGAGACCAAGATTAGGCGACCGGAAGTCGAGGAGAACATAGAGAAGGACCAAGGCAAAGGTATCGTTGTAAGAGATTCAGGGAAGGTTAACGCAGTTTCAGGCACTAATAGGACGGCGCAAGGAGGAACGCTTAACCAGTGGTTTGGAAGAACGAACATTCGTACGGAGCCTGCGAAAGCCAGGCAGTTGGACTCGAGGTTAGATCAGTGGGCTGCCAAGACTAACATTTTCCAGCAAGCCAAGGGAGCATCGCGAACAGGTATTCAAGTTTTGGTATATGTATAAGATACTCGAAGGACTAAATGGTAGCTTGAGCGGGTTGCTCATGGAGATCGTTCTCTGCCCACATTATAGATGCAAAGACAGGGGGACCTGAAAGCCCCGTGAAGATCGACGATCCGCGTAGAGTAAAGGGTATTTATGTCAATGTGAACGGCATAAAGGGTCACTACATTACAAAAGAAGTGGAGATAAATCAGGGACATTCGAAAGCCCAAATCTACACGTACGCTTTGAATAAGACTTACGCCAATTCTTACGGTTCACGAAAACCGATAGTCTCTCCCGATGTCGAGAGATCGACAGTAGAACAGGTGGCGCATTCGGACAGTTTAGATCTTACGGACACAGCCAGTAATTATCCTGCTAGTAATCAAACGATCCACGGGGACTACGTTCGTCGCTTTGAAAAGACCTTCGTGCCTGAGATAGATACTAGTACCAAGTATGAATTCTCTTCGAAAAAAATTCACAATACTTGGAATCCCGTCTTAGATTCTAATATAACGACGCCCGGACCAACGACGAAAGTGTCAATGGAAGTAGACAAGGCTCAAGCACAGCATCAGAAGAATGTCACTTTTATTTTCGACGATCCTATAGAGCCTGGAGTCCGTTTCTCAGCATCCGAAAAGAAAGAGGAGTGGAAACCGAAACTTGTTTTCAAGAATAAAACCGGAACGAGTGATGCGAATGCATCAATCATGTCAATTAACAGAGATAAGCTTGACACGGATGTCTTCAATGAGAAAATAGTATTTGCAGCAGGTAAATAGGTACACACATGACACAAATGGACGATGTGTAGCCACTAGCGATTCTGCGAGTTTGGACAGCGACGTGACTGGACTCCCACTATTCTGATTGACTGACTTTACGTATGCTGTGTTGTCACGCTTCAACATCAGTCCATTTTGAGGTGCCATCTCTTCAGGAACCGAAATAAGTCCTCTCATAATGAAACTGATGTTGCATTGAATGTGACGTCATTAGCCTCTGCGCGACCTTGAACAAAATACGATCGCTAGTGGCTATATCTCGTATATTTGTATCATGGGTACACACAGGTACGCTGTCCGTAGGATTCCATGGGTGCGCGCATGACCAGTAGGACTTAGTTTAAACATTACTTCGATCTATGGTAAGTGTTTTTTTTTCTTTTTTTTTTCAACTGTTGTTTGGCGATTGCGGCTTTTTGCTCTTCATTTTTGCTTCTGGGGATCGATTACACGCATCAGCATCGAAAGCATGCGAAATTCATCTTTGAGGCGTTGGTTTGTTAAGCTCACAGAGGAGTGTGCCAAATAAACATCAATCGATTTATTAATTTACTTTCAGAAGAACCTCCATTTCCCGTGTATTACATACCGGCTGTACAACCACTTGGAATCGAGCAGTCAAAGAAACATCGATCAGTTACTCCAACCTCAGGACAGGTAGGGACAACATCAAGAATCGCCCTCCTCCTAATGTACAAGTTCGTGAGAGTCTTTTTGATGACAGGTAATAAGACTACGCGGTGGGTTGACCCTCAGAGACGGCTATGTTGAAGTTCAAGGTGTGCAACCAGGTTGGGGTACAATTTGCGACTCGAGAAACCAATGGACTCTCAAAGAGGCTCACGTTGTGTGTCGCCAGCTTGGATATTTTAGGTAAAGGTTTTATCAGTAAAAACGCAGCTTGGTCATAATCCTTTGATAAGGATGATCAGAATGGCAGCAGTATGCATTTGAAGTTTCCAAGTTGTATCGTGTACGTAGAGGCGCCGAGATGGCATGGCAGGGAAGACTTAATCAAGCGCACTCTCCCACTTGGATCGCCGCCAGCAGCGTGACCTGCTTTGGGAACGAAACGAACTTTCAAGAGTGCAAGTAAAATCGCGAGATTCGAGTTTATTTACATGCAGCTTATTCAGTAACGGATAAGCCAATCCATTTGATGATTACTCAGGTTCATTCACAATCAACAATGCCAAGTGGAGCGAGATGCAGTTGGAGTTCAGTGTCTTCAAAATAGGGTCGCACATTGTCGCAGCGATGAAATTCCGCACGGCGGACAATGCTATCATCTGGCCAGTCCTGATTCAGGACTGAATCATGCCGAAGCTCTGAATTACTGCGCCTCCAGGGGAGCAAGATTGTTGGATATTACTAGCCAGCATGAAAATAATTTCATATCCGAGTGGCTGGTTCAAACACATCCAAGTGTGAAGTCGATTATGACATCTGGCCTTGGCTTTACTACTATGAATAGAACCGTCTGGATTTGGCAGGACACGAATAGCGCAAAGTTCAAGTGAGTTCAGTTGGCAGGAAATCGGCGTGGACCTTCGAATAAATGATGAGCGCTTCTGAGAGGGTCTATTTTACCTGACGGCTAGGTTCAGCAAATGGTGGCCAGGCTGGTTGGATGACCACAGGAAGTCTCCGTGGGTGAGCTCCAGGCCTGCCTGCATCATCATGAAACGAAGGTTTCCTTGCCACGAACATCCCGAACATTCCTGTCTGACTGATTACTTTTTTTGGGACGCGGAGGACTGTGCTACATCCTTCCAAGGACACTCCTTCATTTGCGAAAAACCCTTTAATGATATTGGTACAGTTTTCATTAGGTGTTTACCTGTTAGAGTGTTGATAACTTTTTTTTACATTCTTCGATCGTCGTCCAGGATGCGTTTCCGGCAAAGGGAATGGATACTCGGGCACAGCCAATATAACATTTTCCGGAAAAGATTGTCTTTTCTGGGACGACGAGATTCTAAAACATTCTTTGGTGCTGACGGTGAGTCTTGCTGTATGTGAATCCGTGAGTGAACTTGTTCCTAGTTTCGATGCTGATGTTACAGATACTTCCCAATTGGGTTAAAGGAAAGCTCGAAGGGCACAACTACTGCAGGAATCCCAATCCGATGGAGGAATCGGTGCCGTGGTGCTTCACTGCTCTCGGAGAGCGCGAGCATTGTGACATCCCAGCGTGCAGTACATTAGGTAAATTCCGATGATGCTAATACCTGCCACAGCAGCATCCAGTTCATCACGAATAGATCTCACTATTTCTAGGTTCGGAAAAGTCGAACGTTGGCAGTGGTTGCAAGCCCAAGTTCTTTGAGTGCACTGCCGGAGAGTGCATACCTGAAGCCTGGCTCTGCGATGGAGACAAGGTAATCGATTAATTCTATCTGTATTTTTGCAACATTATTGACGCTTAGGAGCGTCTCTTTCGCATCCTTTAAGGACTGCACGAATGGGGCGGACGAGGAATCCTGCGCTCTGCACTTGGATCACTTCACAAAGACTGCGAAGCACAGATTGAAAGGACACGATGTTGAGAAGTGGCTAAATACTCCGTTGAAGACGTGTGCGCTCAGATGCAAGGAAGCGGACTTCACGTGCCGATCATTTGCTCACAAGTATGTTTTTAAAACGTGTACTTCATTTGAGGCTACTTCTTTTAATTTAACCGATACTGATTCTTAGTATTTTTCAAAATATTTGTTATCGTTAGCTTCGGACGCAATGTGTGTTTACTGAGTGATGGAAACGTCGGCCTTACGGGTGCTCTCGAACCCAGCAAGGAGTTTGATTACTACGAAATGACAGACAGATCCGTCATTTGCAATGACATGTTCCGATGCAACAACGGAAAGTGCATCAGTCAGTTGCTGCGCTGCGATGGCAAGAATGACTGCAACGATCATTCGGATGAAATCACTTGTACACTCGAGGAACTCGACTATGATATCCGGTTGTCTGGCACAAGCAACAGCCACGAAGGAAGAATCGAGGTGAAAGGTAAGTGAACAGTACTCACATCCACAATGGATTCCTAAATGACAGCACTCAGTCCTCGGACTGAAAGATTTATGCTATAATAATTCGCTCGAAATTAATAAGTTTCAATAATAGTTCCTTCTCGGTAACAGGAGACATTTCGAATTTGCTCCTTCTGTAATTTTACATTTTTAACAAAATAATGATTTATTCAACTTTTCTTTCCCGTCGAATTAGTGCCAATGCGAGGAACTTTGCGTTTTTAACGGGATGTATGATATTTCATGATCGCTAATTGCTACAAGTTTTTGCTAGGCTGTAAAATATGAACTCAGCGACAAAGTTTTAGAATCGGTATTGCGTAGTGCACGGCGAATGGGGCCAGGTCTGCGACGATGGGTTTGGCATGATCAATGCTGGAGTCGTCTGCAGGGAATTAGGTTTTGAACTGGGAGCTCTCGAGGTCAGACCAGGGGGATTCTATGGGAATTTGATACCGCCGACGCGCTTCTTCGTCGACCAGCTCAAATGCCGCGGCAATGAAACTTCCCTGAGACAATGCGACTTCGATGGGTGAGCTATGACACACTGCTCCCAATGTTTCATATGAATTTTCAAGGTCCGGCACACTCGAAAACCCAAGACTTCATTTCTGCGTATATTTTATAGCTGGGGTGTCCATGACTGTCTACCGGAGGAAGCCGTAGGCGTCGTCTGCAAAACTGCGATAGACACCTGCCAGGAAGATCATTGGAAGTGCGACAATAGTCCCGTTTGCATTCGAACGGCATTCATTTGTGACGAAGTGCAGGATTGTCCAGACGGCGCCGATGAGAGTCCCGAGCATTGCGATGTACGCAGATGCCAGCTAATTTGTTAGACTTGTAGTCCTTGCCCCATTGTTCCTAACTGAATGCCCGAAATATGATATCGCAGGTACCATTTGAATTACGTCTCGCAAATGGCAGCAGTCCACTCGAAGGTAGAGTTGAGGTGCGTCATCATGGAATTTGGGGAACAGTGTGCGATGACGATTTTACGACGGCGGCAGCCACCGTTATCTGCAAATCGCTTGGCTATGCGGGGCCTGCGATTCCTAAAAAGAATGGGGCCTTCGGTGCTGGCGAGGGTCCCATATGGCTCGATGAGGTATTGTACGAATTTGCTTACCTGTAAGCGCAGTTCGCATCACTTCATCCTTTTTGACCCGTGAAGTGTTTTGGAGATACTCCTCAAACACACTGCAGCTGGGTTGATCTTCCAGGTATCCTGTCAAGGAAACGAGAGCCAATTGTATCGATGCGAGCACAGCTTTTGGGGTCAGCACAATTGTGGCCACGACGAGGATGCAGGAGTCATTTGCACCGCTGGAGACGTCTTTGCGGAGTCTGAGGTAATCCCCCATTGACAGAGTAACACTGTCGCATTCTTTGAGTTATATCTTTGCGCAATGTAAATGCCATCTATAAGTGCCGTACGAATTATTATCGATTATCAGCTAACTAATAATAATAATAAAGGGGTCAAACGTGCTTCCCTTCCACGAGAACTCCTCGTATCCATACATTTTGTATCGTAGCTCATTATCCCGTCTGAGTTTATTTTATTAATCTAATATTTGCTATAAATGTACTGTTGGCGGAGCAGCACGCGAAGGAAACTGTACCGTATCTTCCGGAAGTAAGTATAAACGATCTGCTACCGGCCGAGTGCGGCAAACGACTCGAAGATTTTCCCGACGATAGTCCTTTCTTTCAAAGAGTGATCAGGGGTAACGTTGCACCGAAAGGGTCATATCCTTGGCAGGTAATCATTTTAATTTCCATATCAGAGAGTGTATGATTTCCGTATGAAAAAAAGGCACCTTTGATTGATGTCGAAAGGCCAGTATACGGGTGCGGGGACACAGCCGATCGAACCACTGGTGCGGCGCTATTATTCTTTCTCCATTGCACGTCCTTACGGCTGCTCACTGTCTCGAGGGATACAACAAGGCGACGTACGTAGTGCGCGCTGGGGACTATAACACAGAGGTGAGACGATTCGACGATTCGACTATTCGACTATTCGACTATTCGACTATTCGACTATTCGACGCACTCTCATCGCTCGTTTCGCGAGAATTTCTCGAGAGAATCGCACGAGGAAAGATTCGAATGTTGCCGCTACTTTCAGATCGACGAAGGAACGGAAGTGGAAGCGAATATCGAGGACTACTACATTCACGAGGACTTCCGGAAGGGTCAGCGCATGAACAATGACATCGCTCTGGTGTTGCTCAAGGGTCGAGGCATCCCGTTGGGCGAGAACATAATGCCGATATGTTTACCCGCTGAAAATCTCGAATATCTTCCAGGACTTAATTGCACTATAAGTGGTTGGGGAAGCGTAGAGACAGGAACTTCCGGTAGGAGAAAAGTTGATTTATCGGTATCTCTACCCATAGAAGGATTTAACATTCTCACTACGTTTTCCTGTGGTACCTTCGTTTCGTCGTTTCAGGTCATTCGCGAGACTTGAGATTCAGTTGGATACCACTGATCGATCAGTCGATCTGCCAGGCTAGTTACGTCTACGGTGAAGGTGCGATCAGCGACGGTATGTTCTGCGCAGGATTTCTCGAGGGCGGCGTCGATGCTTGTGACGGGGATTCCGGGGGTCCTTTAGCGTGCTTTCACAATGGTCAGTAGCAACATTACGATACTAGATATTTCGGTATTGCATTCGCATATTATAAAATCCAACGAAAATTACTGCGTTTAGGAGCGTTCACCCTGTATGGAATAACGAGCTGGGGTCAACATTGCGGCGCAGAAAATAAGCCTGGCGTCTACGTTCGGATCGCTCATTATCGAAGATGGATCGATCAGAAGATTCGTGAATCACTCGCCGGCCAATAGAGTTTAAATGGATAGGATTAATAAATATAGAGTGACACCTGCAACTTTTGTTAATCTGCACTTTATTTCGTAAGACATCATTCTTTCTACATAATATTAATGGTTGTTCTTCTATTTTGTTTGTTACGTTGTGTTATTGAATTTGTGTATGTATGTACAGTAGCTCCAACGTATCAAAAGACGAAATAAAGGCATTGAACTTAATTCAAGTGATCGGCGATATTTACAGAATACGAAAAAACGAACTAAATCCGATTCGTCATAAATCTTTGTACCAGAGTGTCATTATTAGATATTGATATTCGTGCAAGTATGTGCTCTGTAATTTCTATCTATTATTACTCTCCGCCTCTGTCCACTGTGTTTGACTCTGCTTAATATTTCTTCGCGTCTTATTATTTAAGCATTTCAAAAAATTTTTTACTCGCAGCTCATTTAGGAAACACTGTCTTTGTGTGAATGAACGTAAAGTTTGACCAATCACCAAGTGTCTGATTGTCACGAATTACAATGAATGCCACGTGACGCGATAAATAGGCATGACACAAACTGAAATGCGCATTCTGTCTTATAGTCGGATTTATTAAAATTTACAGTGGTCGAAGTTTCCTGGCTCGGTGGACAGCGACGGGGAAGGTTTTGTGTGAAACGCCAGAGCAGTCTAAGTGTAAGATGAATTTAGTGCATTATAAAAGTGTCACGTCGGATCGAGAGGTGGAACAGTCGATTGATTAGTCCTGTGATTGTGTTGTGCGTATCAGACCGGTTAAAGATGATTGGGGAAATCAATGTTTTTTCCACATAAAGTCACTTAAGGGAATGTCGAGCAAAAATAAACACACACACACACACACACACACACGCGCGCGCGCGCGCGCACACAGATCACAAAATTAAACTTAATTCTAACTTAGAGGTTTAATTTAGGTATAATACGACCCAGGCACGTTCCATCCGCAAGAGAATTGAGTGTTTATTCGAATGTCTCGAATGACTTGGGATTATCTTCAAGTAATTCTAGTTATTCGATAGAGCTAATCCTTAGGAGAGGTTCTTCTCAGCGTGAACTGAAATACGTACTTGGATTTCTCGCGACACTCACTCCCTTAGGTCTGACTAAAGACTATAGTGACTAGATAAAAGCAAGGATACCAATTGTTCGACGAAATATAATTCGAATAAATGTTAAGCGATGTTCAGGGAACTGATCAATTTAACGGAACAACTTATCCTCGAGTTTCTCGTAAACAATTCGAAATTCGATTATGGGCTAACCTTATATCTAAAAAAAGCATTTGGATATAATATGTATGTATATACACGACTTTCTTATTTACAGATTATAATCATAACGCTTAGCTGTGAGAGACTAAAACGATGTTAGTAAATGAATTCACGTAAAACGCTCGAGCGAGTAAAAGAGGTAAGCAATTATGCGCAGCTGTCAATAAGATTTCGTTTGCTGTCATCTCCTCTACGTCAGTCAACCTCACCCGCATTCTTGCATCTCCTCTCTCTCTTTCTCTCTCTCTCTCTCTCTCTCTCTCTCTCTCTCTCTTTCCTTGGTGCTTTCATACACAAACAAACGGACGCGCGCTTTCGCCCTTACTCTCCTGTATTTTCGCCTTACATTAGTCACATCCACATTAATTTATGGTAACATACGCAACACACTCTTCGAATGGCTCATTAAGTTGCGAGTGCTGCCTCTGACAAACAGCAATTGTATCCTTCGAAAAGAAAGTTTTCGTTTGACGAAATTGATGACGCACTGGTTAGTTTATTTCTGCGAGGCTTGACTTTACGAAAAAAGATTAAAAAAGGGATTGACGTGAGGTGCAAAAAGAAGTGTGTAAAAAACGAACGGTATAAAAAGTGGCAAGTAAGAAAGAATGGACCGCCATACGCTTTTGATAATTTCTAACGTTCTATGCATATTGACAATGCGCTGAGTGTATGCGTATGATATATTTCATTTAGTAGATACTATTATGTAATAGCGTGTTATGTAATAATATTAGAGTGCGTGTAATAGTCAACTTCCATATATTTTAGATGACAGTGGCTCGAGCAATAAACCCATTTCATTATCAGGCCTTAAATTGCAGAGAGGGTATAACCGACGAGGAGTCTATTTACAAGGTGAATTTAGCTAATTGGCTACGTGGATATTTTGCTATTTCGCGAGTAGCATTCGCGATGGTAACCGAAGTGAAATTTCGTTCGGACAGAAAAGTTCTTTTATGAGTTCCAGGATTAATGTGTTGCACTAGGGCAAGCATTAGTCATTCTGGTTTGGCTGATTTGGCTGATTTTGCTTACTTGGGCTTACCCATCAGTTATGAAGTCCGATCGTCTGTCTGTTCATCTAAATTGCGATTTCTGCTCGTGATTAAACTTCCATTTTAGAATTGCTTATTCCCGATCGATCATTGACTTAGATTCTAAAGTCTCTCGGTGCATTAATCGTGCGTCTGGTATTTGAAAACGTGTTCTTGCTCAAGTCGCACAGGCAAACAGACAAATAGACAAATAGACAAATAGACAGACATTCAGAACTCGCACTGCAAATCGGCAAATTGCTCAACTCTTAATATATCCAATTGTCAAATTGTCTATGGGACACAGTATGGACGAGATGATGAGACGTGTCACTGTTGATACGTAATGGAGTCGCAGGTCGACGGTCGTCGTGCCTTTTACATTTCGGGGAAGCAAACTCTTGGTCCCTATACTTTCAAATCGATGACAGTGCTTCGAAGAGTCTCTCTAAAATGAGGAAACGAAGGAACTCTGTTTTCGTTTTATTTTTACTTTCTCCATTGAGGAGCATGGCGCCATCTGTTAGGACGTGATAAAAAGTTTCAAGGGAAAAATGTTGCTGCACATCAGAAAAACATGACATTGTGTCATCAGTCGTCTAAAAATTCAAATCAGGATTCGGGCAAGTTCGCTCAGATTTGAGTCAATCTGTTCCACTTACACTCCAGCTTTAACTTAAGTTACAGAAACGAATCTATTATTCACACCTAGGTTTGTTAGCGTATATCAAAAGGACTATTAATTATATTTTATGTACTATATACTAGGTACTAGGTACTAGGTACTAGGTACTATGTACTATGTATTGTGTGTTATATACAGGTGGAATTCGCGTAAACATATCTCATGCTCACGCCCCGCATGGCCGGCATTCCTAATCCTGCGATCCTCGTGAAAAAATTCAGTCCGTGCCAACTTGGGAATTATCTACCTGACGAAATTAAAAAAGAACAAAACATCGTCCTTGTTCATTTGTTCCTTCGGCCATTCATGACTTGGCGATTACTTAAAGATTCTATGTCTATGTCACTTTTTCTTGGCATTTTGAGCCCGTAATCTTAGTTTCCCAGTGTTTCTGTTTCTCTCTGTGCACTTTGCCATCGGAACATTGAATCGGCCGAGACTAAGTTCAGCGCTTGTGCTTAAGATTTTCATGAACGAGAAATCGTGTGAGGCTTAGGAACTATACTTACTGCTGTAGTCGATACTGTCATATGAACTTTATTATAGTCTCTCAGGCGAATTTCGATGCTTGAGGGTTGATTCACACTGTAGCGAAACTAAGCAAAATTTCTATTATTTTCTCAGCCCCGCCACTCTCTGCCTTTGTTTCCAGATAAGGGCACAACGAAAAGTTGGCCCTGCTTTGCCTCACTTCGCAGCAGTTTGAATCATCCTCGATTCGATCCGACAATGTCGGGCGTCGAGACGCGGATATATAAAGAAACCGAGTTACGTCGGGCCAACATCTGAATATGCTTCGCTAGTCTAAATAATCGTAAGAACGCGTGAGATCTCTTCGTGTATTTTCGATCGCGAGCAATCTCAGAGCAAATGCTAGATTAATACCTTCTGGTAATACTTGTTCCTCGGACTTCTCTTCACTCCTCTTCTTCTCCTTTCTCCTTTGGCATTGATCTTCTTCCGTTAATGAGCTCGACCCTCCGGTGAAATTAGTTCATTCGTTACACTTCTACTGACATATTGGCATAACTGTTAGAACTGGATACGTAATAACATTTTGCCGCATTGTACTATAGTAGGCAGGACTATCCAGCTGAAACGCATCAATCAGATTTGGCAGCTGGTACGCTTAAGCCGAATGTCCCTTTACAATAGGAATAATGTATGTGTGTAATTGTGTATACCTATTAGTATCTCTCACGTTCCGTGCGTTTGATCGAGGCTCGATTTCACTGGGCGTTCAATTCGGACCTAACAACATTTCAAAGATTAATTTGACAGGACGACGTGCATCGGACTGCTTGCCCAAGAATCGCGTCAATTGTTTGACTTACTTTAAAGACTTGTAACGTTCCTTCTCGGGGTTGTTGTCCGGCGGCTCGCACTCGAACGACGCCAAAGCCAGAGCTGCGCGAATCGGCGAACATTAAACACAAGTAAGAAAGATTTTAGTTCGAAAGGCGACTTATCGTCTCTCGGTCCTTCGAAACGCGACTCACCGTTTTCCGTGAGCACCGGACTAGCTTGGAGAAAAGCTATCACTCTGGGATTCTTCTCGAAGGGACAGGCCACTTGCTTCCATGCGATGAACTCTGTGACCTGCTTAGCGAGCTGCCAGAATTTCTCAAAATTGATGTGCCCGTTCGGTAGTCTGAAAGACGAAGAAACGAGAATCTCAGAGAGGCGAGTCTTCCTGATAACTTGATAACTTGATAACTTTCTGCGAGCCGACAGCAGTGCCGTAACTTTGAGGATTCGGTATGGGAGCCGAGGGGGGGCGGGAAGAATGGAAAGAGGAACGATTGGATTGGAATCGAGAGAAGATTGGCCGCGCGTAACCGTGCACACCTACGTACGTTCACACGTGTCGAAAGATTCGAAAAAGTCGGCAAAGTCCGCAAAGTCGGCAGAACCGACGCCTCGGAATTATGAGAGGCGAACTTTTGAAATTTCTCCCCGTGAAGCTGACGTATTCGTTAAGTACAGCGCAGATAGAATATTTGCATAGCTCTATCAGTCAACACCTGTCCGACTGATCAGATTGCTTTCACCTTGTCCACCTTTCCCGAAGGTTTTAAATCTTTTGAACCTTTCCTATATTTTCCATGTCTTCGCGGGTTTCGGTTTTCTCGCCACGCTATCTGAACCGTTAACACCATTCGCGAAGCAGCACAACTTTTGCCATTACAAGTTTAATAAGTTTACACGCATACAGCGATGCTCAGGAGAGTGAAAAGAAAAGACGACAGTATCCATTACTACTGGTAGCTTCTTGAAAAATATCGAGAGATTTTGAAATAAAATTAGTAGATTGGAAAAGGGAAAGACGGAACCACGAGAGCAGCGCAGGAGATCGAGGAATCTCACTGAGATTTATATAAGTTTCAAAATTAGATTAAGGGCATTAGGTTAGGTTAGGTTAGGTTAGCGGACAATTCTAAGAGGACTTACTTGTTGCTGCATCCTTCGTTGAGAAAGTAGAGGTCCTTTACGAGAAGACTAAAGAACGGAACGACTATTCGCTGTCGCTCGTCCGTCGCACCGGCGCTCCGCCACATTGCCGCTTTTAAAGTACTTCGGTAGCTGCTGAAGTTGCTGCTGGGATCCATCTGATGCTCCAGGATCGAAAACTTGGCTGACTGGACCTTTGACCACTGAAAAGGATGAAAGGAACGATGTAAGATGAGAAGATCATTTGAAAGGTATGGTTGCGACTCTGAGAGCGATCGTATTAATCGCATCGATCGCATCGATCGCATCGATCGAAGAACCCTCCGATCTACGCGTAAGTTCTCGTTGTCGGTCTACAGTTTGCGAATTAAGGGAGAAAACTTTGATAAATCCTGGTGAATTCTAGCAGCGATGTGCCTGAACGGGCGCTTCTGCTCCCAATGATCGGACAGCAGGACGGAGGATGAGCAAGAGGAGCAGGAGGAGCAGGAGGAGCCCGAGGAATACGGCCAGCAGCCGCGTTCGTGCACGCATGAAGCATGTTTCCGACAGACGGTAGATGCATCTGACTTGGCATTGAACTGCAATCGAATCGATAGTATTGCTTTCGACTGCCGTGGCGGGTTTTCAGATATCGAATTTAACGGCGTCTGTCGGCAGCGTCGGATGAGGTCATCGACCGCTAAAGCTTTTCCTCGGTAACCTCTGCTTTCGCCCCGAAAGCATGTTTAGGACACGAAAGACTTATTCTCACATTGTTTCTCTACGATTCACAGCAACTCCTAGAATAATTTAATTAATTTCCGCGGCAAAATTTCCGCGAGAGAATCATGCTCGTGACGTAGGATTTCTTCCGTCTGCTGAGTTTCTAACTGTATCCCGCTTTATACCTTTATGTTTTGATAAATGTTTAATGTTACCAAGTTATCTTCCATGCAGCAACTGAATATTGTCGCGTCAATTCGAAACGGAACTTTGACTAGCGAAATACAATAATTTCGCTTTGAAATTCGTATATGCAATAGGTGTGTTCGCGATTACGAGGACTGTAGTGTATTTTACTCTTTAATATTATTTTATTGACAATATTTCATGACGTGACGCAATTTTAAAAAGGAACAGGAAGCATGAGAACTAACATTTGAGAGAACATACATTCGAGTGGAATAACGAAATAGGTAGCTGGATGATTTCAATGAAGAATTAAAAGCGAAATTTCTGCAATTCGTTGGTCATCTAATCAGGTTGTGCAAACGAAAGGTATAATTTTAAATGGCAATCATAGTTCCCTCGTGGAGGAAAGATACGGGAGGTTTCTCCAGAATACCAGCTGAATTCATCATCTTGTTGGATTCGGGAACAATTGGGCAACTCCACTAACTAGCGCGTTTCGCCTGTTGCAAAGCGAATTTTGAGTATTCGTAATCCGGATTCGATTAAAAGTGCGTGAAATATTAGCGAATTGTAAATTTTCATTAACGAAAATTGCCGCGAGAACTTCAGACCAGTACGCTCCGCGTAGTTTCCGCAATTATTTCGTAAAGCCCTATAAATCAGCTACGCGAACCAAATGAACACCGAATAGATGTAGTGCGATTCTGCCAGAATACCAGAGTACCAGAATACAGGATATCGGGATACCAGAATACCAGCCTCTACAAGCCTGCAAACCCACGACTCTGCTAGTCAGCTAACTAACCCGTCACACAACCTGCCTGTCTGACTGTTCGTTCGCCCATCATCCGGTGGGCTACTATTTAGCCCGGCAAAAAGCACAAAATCCTGTAGGCCTGCAATTGAAAACTGTGGACGTAAGTGAATTGAGAGCAATCATTCGGTGCACGATGAGAGACGTAGCGGAGGAAGTGTGGAGCGACCGGACGGGTAACTCTTCAAGAACAATTAGCTGCGAGTAAAAGTAGAGCTGAGGACATTCTTCTTGAAATAGTCGGTACAACATAAATGTCCATTATTGCTGGCCGAAGTCGATGGCCATGGATGAATATTTGGATTGGAGACAGATGGATCAAGTACCGTGACACCTCCTGCAAATACTCAACCAGATTTACGGATTCTTTAACTTATTACCTGGAGCTGCACAATTATGACAATTAGCTAATATCTGCGCTACAGCGCCGACTAACTCGGAACTTCTTAACGAGGGCAAATGCCGACCTATATTTCATAGTTTCCTACATAGACTGGCAGCAAACTAATAGGGAAATTCAGTTAAACCAGTTTAGCGATTTTATGTCGAGTGCTAAAGCGTCTAGCCATTCGTTCGATTGGCGATCGCGAAACCACAGAAAAGTCCTAGTTAAACTCCCACCAGAGACATAATTTTACGGTTCACGGTAAAGTGTTGAGACTGGACCCGGATTTGAACCTGGATCTTTCGCGTTCCAGCCAAGTGCTCTGGTCCGTGTCGTCACTTTCCCGCGGGACTTGTGGTAGGGCTTCCTCCCGGGGGGCCCCACCCACCTCACAACGCTACTTCGATAATCTACAGAATAATTGGCAACTTACCGTTTTTTTTAGTCTCGAAATCGGCGACATATTGAGGCCTGCAATGATCGCCATCAGAGAGTTGAAATTTCCAATGTTGAAGCATTCCCGGGCCGTTTCTATCCAGTATTCGACTACTCTGACCCGTTGCTTCTTCTTTGCGTGCTGAAAGTGGACGAAGTTGAAGAAGTGGAAGTTACGTTTGAAAAATCGTTAAGCACGGTCTCGCCTTTAGTTTCCAACCCCCATCCTCAAACCCGGAAAAGTTCTCGTACGTTTTTGCCGGAAGGGGAAATCCCTGGCGGCTTGGTGGCCAGAGTAGACGGAACTAAGGGACTCTGCTACTCCGGGAATATCCCACGAGGTTATCTACCGATCTGAGGCAGGCGTGAAACTTTTGTTTTCATGACGAGCCAACCTCTAATATTCAGACTAGCGAAACGTGGCTCGTTTTCGGCTTCCTTGAACTTTCAAGTCG